ATAATATATGTATATAAAAATTATAAAAAATTTATTAAAGTTTCTCGAATGATAGTATTTCAAATATTGATAACGATATTTTCTCTCACGAATTTTATTCCAAATGCAGGTGTTCCGGTGCATTCGGCATCAGTTATGCGTTCAGCCAGAAGTGATCCGGATTTTAGGCACGTCCACGCGGTTCCGAGAGAGCAAACGCACTCTCAATTAACTATCGCGAGGGATCATCCGAGGCTAAGAAGCGCCAGCGAGGCTAATCTTCTGCAGAGCGCGATCAGGACTAATCGGCGGCACAGCATCGCACCGATCGATCCTGGATACATAACACATGGTGCGAGAGAAAGAGAGAGAGAGAAAATCTTTAGATTTATTTTCAGTATTCATTTATATCGATGTTAAGCCTCAAGTAAGATTATTTAAAGCTCAAGATTTTTTGTCTTTCTTTAAATCGATTTCTTATTGATACGAAGATTTTATCATCGCGACGATCGTATCTTCCTTCTGTTAAAAAAAAAAAAAAATAAAAAGATTGTTAAATTTCCGAAATATCATGCGTGATCGTTTTACAGGGCACCCAGGTATCCTGGGACCGGAAAGTTACATGCTGCCATTGAGACCAGTGCCGTTGCAGCATCCCCATCTACAGCTGCGGGGCGTGGAGGCTTCAGGTTCGGACGGGCTGCCGCTTCTTCGTAGTATCACCCTCGAGGCCGGTGCCGCCGAGGTGCTGGCCATCATGGCGACCACCGAGAAAGAAGGCACGCAAATTATCGAGACGATCGCGGGCAGAAGGCGTATAAAGCGGGGCGATATTCTGCTCAATGGAAGATCGGTATCGGCACGTACTCTGAGGTACTTTCTAATCTTCTTCCTGTACGTATGCTTTCCTGTAGTACGCGGCAGTGAGTCACTAGGTGTATTGCACGATTAATAGCGTTACTTTGTGAAAGAAAAATTCATTTTATTTGTCCCATAAATTTCAATCTTTTTCTAAGATTTTTCGCAATAAAGATGCATTACTTAATTCATAAATTGTAATATAGTTATGCATATGTAAATGAAGTAAAAGAAAGAATAAGATATTTTTTTTCATAGCCGGTTTTAATAATATGTGTTAACTGCAGCTTGGCTGACTCATTCTTCGTTTCTTTCTAGATCATAGCGCTGGCTATGATCCAGGTAGAAAAGAAAGATTTAGTTAACCACGGCTGTAACGGTAAACGACATTAGCGAAACAGGCTGTAACTAGCAAGTAGTAACCACCGAGAGAGCATTAGCATGCAAATTTTTATGTAGTTGAATAATAAGTTGAATAACAAGCAGTGCTCATTATTCAATTATCGCATCAATTGTCGCTTCCGTCATTATTGCTTATTACTGCTTCATATTTAATCTTGCGTAACTTTTCGGTTTTGCATCATTTAAACAATTTTACGTATATCGAAAATATGTGTTAATCTTTATGGCATGAGAATATTCAATTCTCGGCTTTTATTTTTAATTCCTCTTGCATTGAATTACGATAAATCTCGCGTTTTGCAAATTATTTTTACATCCAGATTCACGCGACTCTTTGGATATCGATCCAAATATTCGCTAATTTATATATATAAAATTGATCATTTTAATATTAAATTGTCTAGATATTTATTTATACATATTCAATTTAAAATAATATCCCCTTTATTTAAAAAATCATTTAATTATTAATGTCACAAATCAAAATAGATCTCGTGTCGCTTACCTTCCAACGGAGAGCGGCTTGAGTCCCGGACTGACGGCTCAGCAAACTCTCAGCTTCTATATGTTGTTGAGAGGCGGCCGCAACACCACCGCGCTCGAAGCCGAGGCCGTCCTACAGGAGCTCGGCTTGGAGGCGACCAAGCACTGTCTGGTGAATACCCTGACGACTTCTGAGGCCCGACGACTGGCTTTAGCCTGTCGGCTGTTACAAGATTCGCACGTCCTCGCCCTGGATAGGCCCACGCACGGTCTGGACATCTTCGACGCCTTCTTCTTGGTCGAGTACCTGAGGCAGTGGGCCAGCCGCGGTCAGCGGCTCGTCGTCCTCACTCTGCATCCGCCCACGTACGAGATCCTGACGATGGTGTCGAGGGTCGCGCTCACCTCCGGCGGTCGGATCATGTACTCCGGGCTTAGGAGAGATATGCTGCCATATTTCGCGCTCGCCGAGTTTCCCTGTCCCCCGTTCAAGAATCCGTCCGATTACTATCGTACGTAACAAAAAATAATCCTGATTATAAATCTTACAAAAAATGTATTTCTTCTTGTTTTAATTAAGATAAAAATTAAATAAATATTTGATGATTTATATGAAAATCATTTTTATCTTACAAAAAGAGATGAAATAAAAAGTTACTGAATTTTTAGTCAAATTTCCGAAACAATAGGAAAATAATACAAAAAAGAAAAGAAGAGAACTTAAATCTTTCTATGCATCTAAAATTTTAATAAAAATTGAGTTTTTTTCAAATCCTTTTGTAAAACAATAAAAAAATGTAGACATACGAATAATGTTATTTCTCTTTGTCTCAGTCGATTTAGTGACGCTGGACGACTTATCGGCGGAAGCGATGCTGGAATCCTCGCAGAGGATAGATCATCTCGCGGAATTGGCCAGGACGAGGCTACCTCCGCTCAGCGATCCTGGACCACCCGGCGCACTTCCGCCCTCGAGATCTGGTCCCAATATATTCCTGCAAATTTATGCGTTATTATTGCGAACGCTTATTTACAGTCAACCGTGGACGTTGACGCGATTGCTGCGAAAAATCGTAATCTCCGCGTCACTCAGTATTCTACTTGGTGCAATATTCTGGGACGTTGCTAGCGAGTCAAATTTATATCTGAGAGATAGAATAGGCTATCATTACGCTAGCTTGGGCATCTTCTTCTGGCCTCTGAGCCTTCTGGCAATGTATGACGTAGCCAACAGCAGGCCGAACGTAGAGAGAGATATCAGGGATGGATTGTATGGCAGATTTATTTACATCCTCATAGAGGTAAGCTTAAATTTACCAAACTTCAAAAATTTATCTTGGCGAAAAGCACATGATTTATGAAATTAAGAGAAAACAAGTGTCTCGAAAAATTTTTAGAAAATTATTGAGAGAAAAATGTGCTATTTTAAAAATATATATTATCTACTATATTTTCTTGCAAGATATAAAATAAACAAGTTATAAAAATCTCTCTTTTTATATATATTTGCTTTCTTTCTTCTCGTTATGTTAAAAGCTCTTATGATATTTTTAAGACGTTTGATCAACTTTGTGTATGACTAAAGTAATATAAAGCAAATATATGTCAAAATAAAAAAATATGTGCTCCAATTCCAATTTGCGATATAAAATAATTAAAATTAATATATGTGTAAATATAATTTACATAAATACACTAAAAATTGTCCAAAATATTGTTAATCTAAAAAAGCAAAGAATATATAAATACTTTATAAGATATACTATCAAGTCTGACAATGAGATTTTTAGGAGAAGTACTATAAGCAGTAACACATCGCTTCTTGTTCTCAGCTCATCTGCAGCGTACCATCCTGGTGCGTAGTTTACCTGATATACCTGGCGCCGGCGTTCGCCATGTCGGGGCTGCACTTGGTGCCGGATGAGAACATGACGTCGCTGTGGAACTATCTTGCCGTCGGTCTGCTGTATCTGATGATGCAGCATCTCATCTGCACTTTCTTCGCGCACGTGTGCAAGTCTACGTATCTGGCAGCGCTGTTCGCCGGCGTGGTGGTGGGCGAGATGAGTCTGGCCGGGGGCATCACCCTGCATTTGGACAATCTGCCATCGTGGTATCAGCGGATCAGCATGATGCAGTGGTCGTTGTCGCTGCTGCTGCCGCGTCTGCACAGGAGCGAGAGTATGAGTAAGCTGGCCAACTGTAGGCCCAAGCAGATCCAGCGGCAGGACATCATCATCCAGGCGGCGTGCGAGCCACCCGATGGCGCGTTAGCCCTTCGCGAAGTCGCCCTCGACAAGCTGAACCTACGCGGCGAGTTGTGGCTGGGCACCGGCGTGGCTATCACGGCCGTTCTGATCGTTCTGGGTTTCCTGTGCGTCAAATACGCGACGCCGAAGAGGCCCAGAAGCGCCCCGAACAAACCCTGATTCTAATACGCGAGAGGAATCTCGTAAAGTATAGAATCGAGATTATGTACACATGTTATGTTCGCGAGTTGTGCGAAGTTGATTTAAGCAGACTTTCACTCTTCGTTTCGTAAAGCTGTTTTCGTCGAAGTAATTTTTAGAATCTCTTAAAGATTGAAGATCATATGTTAGAGATTTAAGCGCGACGATGATTTCTTTGGGTTACGGCAACGAAACGTCTTAAATTTAACACTTGCTCTCTGAGATAGCGTTTTACTAATTCAGTGTGCCAAATGGCTGAAATAAATAGTATTTTTGCGAAAACAGATTTTTAAAATGGTTTTCTTGAATATTATTTTCGGCAGTTATAGTTTATTTGATTTCTTTCATTAAAAATTTTTATTTTTGAGGCGTATTCCCGAAAGATTGAAAAAACGGAATTTATCACGTTAAATTTCTTATATAATTTCTTATATAAGATATTTAAAATCTCGATGAACACCGGTGATACCGAATGTCACTTGGATTTCCTGTTCATCAAACTTTAACAGTAGGATTTTAAATAAATGGATAGTGCTTCTCTCTCCTTCTCTCGATACAATCTATATACTTACTTCGCGTTCGTAATGTCTCATTAATGTCTACTCCGTTGCGATTCTTTAAAGAAATAAGCTTTAGGGACTCGCAGAGTAGACATCCGGGCGATATAAAGTACAAAACTTATAACGAGACATTACCTTATTCCCGTAATAAAAGCCCGCCGTTTATATACAACAGACACGCTTAATACTTTATATATTGTCTTAACCGTATTGTTGTAATCGTATTAAATATTCTCATGAAACGAATAATTTTGCCAGTTTCTTTCAATCCACACACATCCTGAAATTCAAAAGAATTGCGTATCATTGTTTCGCTTAGATCGGCAAAAATTTGCAGTAATGATATATTACTTCAACGCAAATATTATTTATTTATATCCAAATATTTCGAGCCTTAATTTTTAATTTCTCAATATCCTTTTTTAAAAGAAAAAAATTTAGAATTTAAGAAAAAATATAAAAAAGGATTATATATATCCAATTTAAAAAATTATTTATAATATGTGTGTAGAAAGAAAAGATTTAACATTATTCTTTCCGGTTGTTTCAAACAGGCTGAATTTTTTTAGATTCATTATTTTTTTTGGCGAAACGTAAAATCGATACTCTCTGCAGGGAATTTTGCTACCAGCGGATAGCATTGACAATGATTCAACAATAGATAACTGATTTATTTCACGTTAGCAAGTCTCCGTTCGTAGGCTCCATCTAGATATTGTAGCCGCCGATATCGAAGATACCTGTCGTATAATTATTAATTTTTATCAGAACATGTATAATGATATCAGCAAAGAGATCATTTATATTTGAAAAAAACGCCAATTTAACGAATCTCTTAAAAATACGATATTCAAGTCCGGAGCGGACTTGAATGTTACAATGAGAACCCTTTATGAGAGAGAGATCAAAATCGCTATGACATATATAGCCAAAGTCCATTTTCGCATTTCCACCACAGATTGTTTTGAGATCGATAAACTGCCACCCTTCGTAGGTGCCGTACTACGCAAATCAAGTTATAAAGGGCTTGCGACTAATAAACGCGTGCTTCAGACGTTTATTAGAAATCGATACCACGTGGAGCAAATTTATCCCGCGGATGACGCATGTTAAGAAATGCAAAGTGCGATTAAAAATAAGAACGATTCGCTTCTTTGTCTCTACGTCGGTACATTGTTAGCGTGATTCTTGTGTTATTTTATTAAAAATTCTAAGAAACTCTATACGCGCGCATTATTCCGCGTTTAACTCGCGGAAAGATAACTCTAGTATTCTCTCTCTTAAATGGAATAAATGTATTTTCACTGAAGTAGGAGCAATGAATAGTTACTCATAGCCTCGGTTATAAGAAAAATGATGTGTACTAAAAATCAGTGAAATCTCTCTGAAAGAATTAGTGGTAGTAGTTATTTCAATCAGTGATATTTTAAAATGTGTATCTCTCTCTCATATATATTATAGTATTATATTTAAAACAAATTTGTACAGCAATATATTTTATCATAGAGAAATATCTGAGTTTGACAAAAAATTGTTTATTTTCTTCTGACATGAGTTTATCAGATCTTAAGAATAAAAAATAATATGTATATAATTCTGAATTTGACGTGTTTCATTCTAGATATGTGCGTGTGTGGGTTTCTCCTATAAAACGTAACAATTCAAGATAAATAGAAAAAGATTTAAAAACTACATCTTGCATATATGTACGATTTTTCAATGAATGTTATTGTTATAATCCGTAAGACATAAGAGAGAGATCGAGAAGCAAAGTGTAACCGTTTTCACTGAAGATTAGTGAAATAATCACAAATGTTCGACGAAATCTTGTATCGCTGCTTTAATCAGTGACTTTTTAAATGATTCAGTTTAAGAGAGTACGTGTTTTAATCAGATCCAATCTTATAGCCGCGCGATAGCGTGTTCCACATTTAGCATCGCTTTTAGCGTTACAAACGTTGGCTGCTCGATTAGAAGTTTTATTCGGTCAATATAGAGCGTATCTTACGAACTAATCGAGACAACGACATTTAAAAGATTAAATATTGCTTGACCGCTGCTCTTATTTTGATCGCGTCTAATAATCGATCGCTCAACGCAATTGATCTTTGCGAACTCTTGCTTGTCGTCACAGTCACAGAAATTGCGCGTCATGAGTGTCGCAATCATAATCCACTTTTATGTAAGCTTACTTTCATCGAGTTTGCAATTAATTACGCCAATTAGCGCTGTCGAGAGCGTTCGTCGAACTCGACCGACGAGCGTATCTCGCCGAGCGAGATCTCTTATCGCTGTCGCACGATAACGACCGATCGTGCGACCAGATACGGCGAATAAAAATCGGCAAGAATGGAAGGATTCCATTCACGCGTTGATTCATGTGTATATACTCTTAACTCGCATGACTGTCGTCGAGATTATAAATATTTCGGAAAAAATGTATTTATCTGTCACTACACTTCATTTTTCGAATTACTCCGTAAAATAAAATTTCATCGAAAATTACATCCTCGCATTACTTATATATATTACATATTATTTAATGTTACATTTCATAAATATCAGCATAATTTTCGATGGAATTCTAATTAGAACGAAAATTATATTAAATGTTTTTCACGAGATATCATTAATATCTCTGCTGATAATTATATATTGCTGATAATCTATATGTATCCAATATTAATTTATCAAATAAAACTACGCTCTCTCTTTCTCTCCTCTTTTCCTTCATTTTTGCATGCATCAATGCAAAAAATTACATGATACGTTTTCATGACATAGCAAAAAGCCAATGAGATGTTTATTAAAGAAGAATATTTAAATTTTAGAGCTTGAGAAAAAATTTAAATTTTCTCTCTTTTACAATATTTGTGCGGATTAAATTTTTTCACTTCTAGGAACGAGTGGGCGGCATGATTACACTTGGGAAATATCGCCGGTAAATGTCAGTGATATCGTAAAGAGAAAAAATTAGTATGATTTTCGAGCCAGCTTAAACTTCGGATTTTTCATTATTCAAATAATGCTTCGTGATAGTTTAACTTGCACGCAGAGAAAAATGCGAACGTTGAATATTCAACCCAGACTAATATAATGTCCATTTTTTTTTTTACAAATACTAGCTCGTTCGTTTTATAATTAATCCATAGAATATTTAAAAAAAAAATCAGTCCGCACAGTTGATTAAATTCATAAGTAATCAAGTTTCTAACAAAAGCGTAATCGATATTCAATCGCTGTTTGCGAAAGGTCCAACGGCTCGCTTTCGTGCCGTATTAGGGAAATTCGGTATTGTGTAATATTACAAGATATATTAGGTCGCGTGACAATCCCGTAAAGGAGATTCTATCCGCGCGAGTATCGGAATTCGGAGCTTGGACATCGAGTCTAAATAAAGCGAAGCTATCGAGTACAATCAATTGAGTCTCGTTTCCAATGAGAGAACTAGTCGTAATATACAAGATGCTTCATAAGTAACGCGATCAATTATATACGAGACTCGTATCTTTCGCCGAATATATAATAAATTTCCGGCAGATTAAAAAATATCAGCCGTATTTCGTGCGAATCTTGAACTAATTTGCAAAGTAGACTTATTGTTAGAAGGGGGGTTTTTGGCGGGGTTTCGACCGTCGGAATCTCTCGCTTGTGAAACACTTGGTACATAAGTTGATTTCTCAATGAATCGACCTTTGTACGTGCGGTCCACAAGAAACTCGTTCATCGCGTACCCATGGAATTATTACGATACGACGGATTCCGTCGCGTTTGTATAACGTCACTCGCGTTCGCTCTCGAAGAGAGTTATTATACCGGCGATTTACGTAATTAGCTGAGAGAGCGAGAGCTTTTCCAGGAATTATCGTCATGCCGTCGTGCGCGGCCTACGTTGCGCCGAGACTTAATTACTTTCATCAAGGGAGGCGGCCGTTTGCAACGGTAATCGGCAATTTATGTCGGCTTACGCTTATGCGCCTAAGCTCCAGTAATCAAAGGCTAGATCCTTGGTGACACGTGTTTCGATTCTGCGGCGCATTTTGTGCGTTTTCTTAACGTTTCCGTAGCTTCACGAATGAATAAAGGATTCAATGCAACGGTGAGACAGAATTAATTTTTTCTCTCCAGAATTTCGAGAATATTATTCTTGAAGTTGAACAGATTAAATTTAGATTAATTTTTTCTATTAAAAGAAATGAATTTACATTTTACATTAAATGAATTGAGCTAATGAGTAAATAGAAAGCAAAACGAGGCAGAAATGTACATAAAAAGTAATATTTAATCTATATTAATTGACAAGATAAATGAGAGAAAAAAAATTGCGCATCAAGAGAGAGAGAGAGAGAGAGAGAGAGAGAAAGAGAGAAGAAGAAGAAGAAGAAGAAGAAAGAGAGGAGCAAAATGGGCGAATCATCGTAGTTACATCGCGTCAATGCACCATTGTGTTATAATACGACGAAGAGCACGATCCGCAAGACTTTCATGCGATAACCGTCGGTTATACAAGCAGCAAGTGAAACCGCGTTATTTCCGGTCGCCCGGTTCATCCTACGCGCGGCTATTCAAATTCCCTGATGCTCGTACCGGGGAATCGATATTGCTCGACAAACAATATCAGATTTATGATACGTTAGCCTTGTCAAGTAAATATTGAAAAAAATAAATAACTGAGAGAAAAACACGGAAAAAGAGAGAAAGAGAGCGTACATACGAAGTTTTGATACACGTCAATTCTCACAACTATTTCAACAAAAAATAAAATTTGTTTTATAAAATTGTTGGTAAAACAATTATTATATATAGATCAACACAAATAGCTTGAATTTATGCATTAAAGATTTTCAAATATGTTATTTTGCTCATTTTTGCGCATGGCATAGGCAGGAATTTTTAATTATGTTATAGAATATAGAAAACAATAATACTGATATATGCCAGTGGTTATAAATAACAACTAATTATTTTTTCCGTATGCCATTACAATCTTGTATTTTTGCTCCGGAATAGGATATTTCCTGGAAGATGCATGGCTTTGTTTGATATTCCATAGAGAATATTTTATTTTATCAAATTATCGCACAACCTCCACGGACTCCACGTTGGAAATATAGATTTTAGGTCTCTGCACAATAAGCTATAAATAAAATTAATAGAATAAGATTTCTTTACCATCATCTACGTCAATTATCCATGAAAGACCCAATCAGAGCCAAATCGCAGCTGATGCTATATAATTAATTAAACGT